TGAAGCATGGAACGTGGCTAGAATATTGTCTTGTCGTTGATCATTACTCACATCCGTGCGATTATTTAGTTAAGAACATGTGCTGATCATATTGAATAAAAGTAATCTACAGATGAAAAGAAAGATATCGACAAATCAATCCAGATTCCTTAACTGATAAAGAAAATATATTTATGTGACGTCTATACTTATTTCGATATATGAAATGAAAGATTTCAGACTATTATCATATCGTATAAAGATCAGATTCTTTGTACTGAACGTAGCCAAACTTTTGGCGATGGGTGTAATTATTAAACGCCTAATACTCACTGTTTAAAAACTTATATCTTCACAGCCAGAATAAATGGTCTTAGTACGGGTGAAGAAGTATGAGTAAAATGTTTGTTTATTTATTTTTTATTTTTAGTTTTTTTTTTTTTTTCATGATAAAGTCTAAAGTACCAAAGTTCAATATAGTTTTAGATAACAAAAAAAACGCAACAAAAAAAGGAACAAATTGTAAATAAGTAAAACAAATGTAATGGAAAGTTTTTGTAGGACTATTGGATATTTTTTTTTTTAAATTTTATAAATTAAAATCTTAAAATAAATTATCGTTTACACGTTTTTTGTTTAAGATTTAATTATAAAAAAAAAAAAAAAAAAAAAACGTTTGCTTACCTATCTACTCTTACTCAGTCATCAGCATATATAATTTGTGGTTTTTAATTTCGATTTGGCTCTACGGCTAGATAATCGAATCTGATAGTGCGTTGACACAGGGAGTCATTTCAGTGATTTCGTCAAGCGATTTCATTTGAAGTCATTAGCTTTTACATTGCATTCAAATCATAAAGTGATTACTTTCGCCCTAAGCATATTCACATGTAAATATGCGCCGAATAATGAAAGCGAGCAAAACTTATTGACCATTGAAGAGCCAAGCAAGTTATGCCTTTGGCTACTTCTACAATTTCACTTATATGGCATAAAATCCATGTGGAGGATTTTCTTGTATTCATGCAGTTACAGCCTTGTAGTAAGCAAACACAAAAATTGGGCATGCAACTTTGGCGCATGATCAATCCGTAATTCCATACAAAAACACGAACACAAACTCATATATTTCAAGGAAATTCCATCCAAAATGCGATTTTTCAATGATTAGCTTTATTATTATGCCCTGGAGCCCTTGTTGCAACAGGATTTCATTAAATTTAAGCGGGTGTATGTAACACAGAGCGGAAGTTGGAATAGACCCGTCTTTCGTTTCTTTGATCGATTCAAGAAGTGATTCGATTTAAGCTTGGCTGTCCGTCTGTGTTGTTAGTGTTGTTAGCAACTTTCGCGTTACACTGATCGGATCAGATCATATTTTCGATCACTTCCCACCTGAGTCGTTTATTATGAAAGTGGCCTAAATCCATTTTCCAAAAAAGAAATCAAGATAACTATATAGGTAACATTCTCTCTAATTATTTATTTTCTCTATTATCATTTAATATAGAATTTCAATATACTTTTTTAATATAACTTTAGACTCAGCCCACCTACAAGTACAATCCTTTTAGCGATTGCAATGCAAGAATAAAACATCTTTTAAGCGACCAAATTAACGCATCAAATAATGAAATTGCAAGGGAATCATGAAGGAAAGACCAACATTTCGCATTACTAGTTTAGGACTGTCTTACCCCAGGGTTATTAACTTCAATTGCATTCAATTACAAGCACAACTTGCGCAATTTTAAATTCGATTTTTCACAATGGTTTCCGTGATGGTAATGTTCGTATGTATGCCTGGGATGAACCCGTCACATCCAGAGATCCATAGGAACTAGCATCACGTCTCCTAAAACATCTGCAAAACCTATAGCGAAGTTGGTCAAAAGAAAAGAGAAAAGGAAAATTAATTTTGACATGGTTAAAAATGATTTAATCGATAGAAAATGATGTGAATGTCGTTGACCCATATCACACGACAGATGTGGAGAAGGAACATTGTTAATTCTAATTGAAAATAAAAGTTGAATGATTATTAATTTCATCAAACGAAAAGTGTATATATTTCTTCTCATTTCAAAAGAAAATCGTGTTTTCATGTCGTGGAGATAATTCTTTAACCAATTTTGAAAGTGGCTTAAGTCCATTTATAGTCATCAGAAACATATGATATTCTAAATAGTGTTAATTACGCTAATTGGATTGAATTAATTATACTCTCTCAGAAATTCAAGCACCTCATGTTACTACGCTATTAGTTATAAATGGATTTAGGTATATTAGAAAGCAAAGCTTTGGATATCACGGTTTTAATGTAAATGGACTTAGGTGACTTTCAAAATAAACGGCTCATGTAACGCCTTATTTTGCAAAGTCATTATACAAATAATTGCAGGATACCTTAACGCCGGAATTTGAGATAACAATAAATGTGCGTCTAGGGTCAATTGTATACGTCAACTGTTCTAATCGAAATCAATAACAGCCAGAAGAGTCAGCAGACGAGTAAGCGACGAAGAATCTCACATACCAATCGAGAGTAAAGTGTATATTTTATCTGGCTTCTAATATTGAAAGGAGAATGACAAATTTAATGGACTTTGTTCCTACGATAGTCGGTTTCGGAACGTAATTCCTGTTAAAAGCCTTCTTAAGCAGCAAATAACTTTACTATAATCACAATCTAAGCCAATTCTTTATATAGAAAGATAATCAGTTGATTATCTCAATTTGTGAAATTTCTACTAATGATTGTTTATTTATTTTTTTTTTCTTTTAAATTATAATTAAACGAAACAAACTTTGATCGTACGATCATTGGCTTCATAGTATTTTTCTTCTTTTTTTTTTTTCATTTCAATCAGTATTGTGACTAATTGTTTTGAATTAGTAATGCACTTACATAGTTAATGATATGGTAGGTAAATCTAATAAAAATTTAAATTTCTAGTTACTAATATGTATGCAATCGCATATACGTAAGAGAATCTTTAGTAAATTTTAAGAGAATTTCACAAGATAATTATATATAGTAAGACAAATGTAAATGCAACGATGTTGTGATCCGCTTGATACAATCAACCGGTTATGCGAACTGGGCAATTTGATAGGTCATGGAAGGCTTACGAAATCTTTCAATCTTTCATAACGTTTATTTTTATTAGTTTCTTATAAATAAGGTTTCGATGTCAGAAGAGCAAGTAATCGAAATAATTAGTCAATTAAATTCCATTGTAAACCTTTAGTTGATGTTCTATGCATAATGGATGGATGGAACATGAAGGTCTTTTCTTCTTCCGTACTTACGGTTTAGTCTGGCGATTATATTCTAGTGTGTAATTTTTTCGCTACTTCAACCTAACGTTTATTCTCATCGAGTCTTTATCCCTAAAACTCGTATTCTGTCAATTCGCTTATCTTTCTTGTTATTGTCCTATTTTCAATTATGCCACGTCGCCCTCTTCCTTCTACCGGTCAATTTATTAACACTCTGTGTTTTCTATTAATTTCCTTCTTTTACAAGTTAATCTTCATAACTATTTTTTCTGTACCTTAATTTTTTTTAGGCACTTCTTATTACTTTTATCTTTCCAGTACTAAATTTCGCTCCACATACGTTCGCTATGTTCCTACTACGCCATCCACGCTTTCCATCATTGTATACCCTGTTGGTCCCTTCTCCAATACTCCTCCTTTTCTGTTTCTACGTATTCTACCCCCATTTCCCTACTCATCGTTCACCTCATTCTATTTCAATAGCTATGTAAGTCGTTTTACCTAAACCATCTCTTTCTGCCTTTCCCGTTCATATCTATTCACCTATCTTTCTATCATCTTTCTTCTCCTGTATCACAAGCTTTTCTGTTCTCCTATCTATATGATGTTCCCATCATCCACCTATCCATTCATCCATATCGCTATCAAGCTCTCTCCCACTCGGTTGTCTATATTAGGACCACGGACCTCTTTATATATATTGTATTTCTCTTTCGTTATTTCCTTTTGCCGATTCCCTATTTATTATTAATTATATCTGATAGCTTTCAACTTCTTGCGCAAACTTGTAGTAGAGTGCAGTGTAAAAGTATTCTAAAAACAAACTTTAAAATATTACGTATACATATATCATGTTACATATTTATTATATATTATAGTGTATATGGAGCTTATATATGAAAATTCGTTTCAACGAGGGAACGACGAAAAATTCAGAGTCCAAAATGGAAACGAAATAAAGTTTGTGCGATTTTCTTTATGATTCTTTTAGACGACCTCGCAAAACAAAAAAAAAATAAAATTTGTAAAGTATGATAAGAAATGGCGACGAGTATGACAACACAATTAGTGAACTGTACGCAGCAAAGGAAACTGATAATGAAAGAGCAAATGGTGCTGGCTACAAAATATCACTTATAAAGTACAAGTACAGAAGTGCAAGCAAATAAACCAAGTATCGTGTAATTCACTGAAATCAGAGAGATTAAGAGAGTATTTCGCCTTGCCCCAACTGAGTAAATATGAACGCAAAAGTCTACAAATATATAATAAATCAAGACAACACCAACGCAAAGTAAAACGCGATAAGAATTAAACGATCGTCTTGTAAATGCATGTATGTATGTATTTGTAGGCAGAGCAACAAAACACGCGAAACCGAGTTTCTCCATATATAATATCAGGGGAACCGGTATAAAACTCAGTCAGATGCTAAATGTACGCGTACGCGAGAGCATAACATTTTTATAAATTGCGCTAACACAAAAGAACATAATTGATTTAATAATAAAAAAAAAAAAAAAAAAAAAGTGCACAACACAAAAAATCATTGTTACAATACACTGCAAAAAGCATATAATAAAAAATAATCGATTAAAATAGAAAAAAAATTGTATAAAATATATTTGCAAAATTTTTTTTTTCATATAATCAAAGCGAAGAAAATTTACTATAAAAAAGAATTACTATAATAATTTAAAAGAAAAAAATTTACACAAAATAAAAAGTTGAAAAAAAATTTGTATTTATTCAGTAGAAAGGAAAACATTGTATAAACTAAAAAGAAACTATGGCCAGTGCTGAAAGTAAAAATTCAATGGCGAACGGTAATGCCGTCTCAGAATTGCAAATAAAAGACGCACAAAATTTATTGCCACACTTGGAGTCGCTAGAACGCATTATAAAATTGCCTGTTGTGGGTGCGGCTTGGGATAAAAGTCAGGATGTCTATGGCAAAGTAAAAGGTAAGCACGAACACATTCATAAAAACTAAGAAATCAAGTCAATCTGTAGCATAAGTTCTTTGAACTTTATTAGCGAGCAAGTATGGGGGAAAAAAATGAAAAAGAAAAAAAAAAAAAAAAAAAATGTAAAAGAAAACCTTGAAATTCTTTTCATATGTAGTTGAGTTGCTGAAACCGTTATAGCGCTGGCCACACATCAAATAGAATGCACAAAATGCATGAGCACATATATATATATACTTATATATATATATATATACTGTATATATGTAATAAAAAGTGTGTAAAATGAAAAAAAATTAAATTAATATGGAATTGAGAAATTAGGGGACAAATGCGATATAGAGAATATTTTAGCTCCTATCAACGATTGAAGGTATGCCATAATAATTTTGATGTCAATCTCGCATATGCGTTAGGTATTAATCTCCAGCGCATGAAAGTGCCGATATTCTAGATCGGACAGAGATTCCTAAACGATTTACTAAAGCTAGTTTCTTCTGCCTAAATCTTCATCGTTGAGAGATCTGCAATAGAAAGTTGAACCTTGACACATGTCTTTTTGAACTCCTTATTTGATCAATAAAAATATTATTGAATTCCTGATATATTGAAAGTGACTTGAAAAACTGTGTGGGCAATAAATTTATTTCTTAATTTTCGGATCCATTATTGAAGCATAACGGTGAAGCGATTTTATATATACCCAAACAACAGAGTCGAGTCCCTACATGTGTCTATCCGTCCATTCGCAAATATTGACATAGACAGTTGAGACTTGGCGTTTATTTGTAATCTTAGTTGCCTAGCTGCAAGGGAAGCTTAAAACTGGGCGTTGCCCATGTACGTTGCATAAACCTAAAGAAAAAACAAAAATAAACAACAACAAAATATTGTCTTTAAAAGTTTCATTTAAAAACATAGTCTGATGACCTTAATGTCACGCCTACTGTTAACAAAAAAGTTTCAATTGATTTTCACATTATTTAAGGTAGGGCATATTCAACCTTCTTTCCGAAGCAAACAACATTTCCACTTGCTCCGGCGTTACTTCGAATCGATACCTATTGTGAACTGTTTTTTTTTTTTTTTTCTTTTTTTTTTTGCCAACAATACGACTATTTTTAATACCTAAGTAAGTGGATTGCTAGCACAGAACTTGAGTTTTTACATCTAAAGTATGCTCTGGCTCTCTATTTGCATATCACGAACTTGGGGACGGGACAAAGCAATTTTGTTGAATCATTTCAGAACCTTCAGTTGATTAAGAATCTTACGAGCCTTTCCAACTGTTAAACCGGAATGATCAAAATAATCAACACTCGAACACCTTCTCATTTGCTAATAATAATTTACCAACTAATTAGGATAGTACGTTTAAAACGCTGTATTTCTCGAAAAGCATCAAATTAATATTTGTAATGTCATGATATTACACTTTTTACTCTTAAGAAGAACTTACTTAAGAACTTACTTTAAAAAAAGTACGAAAACAAATTTGAATATTTAATTTTTTTTGCTCTCAATTTCTCCATGTCTGAGATTACCGCCAACTGAGACAAGTGCAGCTATGTCTAGTTATCCTTTCATACCATTCTTGACAATGTGTCCTTTGTCAACACATTTCACATACGGGTATACTACTGCACTCTATTTCTTTCATTCCGTTCGCGTCCCGTCTGTCTTCTTCAACTTGTATGAAATAAGTAAGAAATGTTATATTATTTCCTCTCTTGCGACATGTATATATAATATATGTAAGTATAAAAATTACAAACCATTTTCGACAGAACGCATGGTTGCTGGCAACTTTTTACACACTACGCTAGTGTTCATATGTTTTTTGCGACATATAAATATGTCGTACTTTAAGGTCTTTGTGTCTTGCGTATGTGCTTGTAAGTGAATCACACCGATAGATAGTTGCTCCGTGTAGCAGTTTTTTTTGCCTATTGTGAACGAACTGGTGGGCAGATCAAAGTGAGTGAGTAAGTCTGATCTATAATCATTCGATGAGAAGAAGAATTTTTAAATTTTCATTTTAGCCTTCTGCGACGGTAGTCTTAACACCTAGCCGAACGATCGGGTACATCTACTCTTTTTTTGGTTAGTCTTTGGAGCACGTGGTCGGCTAAGTGTTAAGAATCTTCCTATAAAACGTATGGGCGTTAGGGTTTTAGGAATCTTTCATGTTTTTATTCTTTTTTAATGGCTATAAAAAAAATGGGTACGTTTGGTCACCTTAATAATAAAGAAAATTTGGTTGCTTCGATGCTTAAGCACACAACTAACCTGCGACCTTATCATTTAAATATTATAATTTTAATATTGTTTTTTATTGTGCTTTCTCTTTCCTTTTATGCCTTCACGATATTCAATACAATATAAAAATTTCTTCTCATAAACGCTCTATATATAATACATTCGTGAAAGTACGTACTGAATACATGCAAATATTTAGTCAATTGACAATCAATTATGGTTTATGACAATAATTTTATTAATTCAATTGATATGAACTCCAGAAACTATGTTTAAATATCAATATAAAGTCAGTAAAGCATAATAAAGTTCTCACAAAACCGAGCAAAAGAGAATCTTCTTAGGCACTTATCCCGAAAAGGAACGATCAACAAGAACATATTCCTTAATAAAGCAAAACGAATGCTGCGAAGAGTGTCTGCAGGTTCTCGAAGGAGCAAGAAACGCATCATAAACAATCAACGCTAACCGGACCACGTTCAGTCCTTGAGAGTCATTTGAACTATGAACTGAAATTATTTTACATTATATTTCAAACAATTTTTTGCTTTACTTTACCTTAAGTTAATAAGTAACAAAAAAAATAGATGTCAATTTAAAATCCATGCGTTCGAAATTAAACATTTTTCATTTATGTAACGGATATTACCACGATGAGCCTCACAGGCTCACAAAAAATCTGAGTCACGAAATTATCAAATGTGATGTTGCTGTTACCGTTATGGAATGGTGTGATGAAGTCTTTCCTTTGTGTCCAAGGCACGGGACTCTTTTCTGACTGTGAATCTGTGGGGCTCACCGTGCTATGATCCGTTATAAAAAACATTTGATCGCATTAGGATTAAATAGTCGGTTTTCTTTTCTTTTCTCTTCGGTGACACTTAAAACGGGCTAATATTTTAAAGAATACTTTTCACCTCATTACTTTTACTTAGAATCTACCATTTTTAATAAAACAAATGTCAAAATTTTATTTAGTTTTATTGCACTCCCTTTGACATGATTTTTCATTATTTGTTGTATGACTACGATGTATCTTAAGGTGTCTACCAAACTTTGATAATATCCATCTTTATATGAATTTTGAAAAAGTATTACTTACCATCCAACCTAAGCAAGAGTGATGACATCTTAGCAAAACGGTTTATCCATTTGGATCTTTTTGTGCAATGCATTTACACTGAGTGTGAATTCATTAATTTCGGATATTTCCGTAAGTTCATCTGATATTAAGCAGAAAGCGTGACGATCTTGTGATGTAAAAAAATGTCAAATTAAATGAATGATAAACCAATGGCCAGGTAATGCAGAATTATTGTATACTTGTTTGGTTGTCTGTTCCTAAAAGAAAAGATAAATAAATAAACAAATAAAGGAAGGTATGCTTTGGAAAAAAAAAAAAAAAGCTCCATATATCGAAAGTATCATCATCTAGATGATGGCACTATAGACGCAGGCAGTAGCACAATTTGGTTGTTCTTCAAACCGTTCTCTGCCGCGGAATACGAAATACAGAATACATCACAGACCGAGATTCTTTTCGTCATTTTATGAAATTAATTGGAATTGATTTTACGTAAGTGTGTTTCGAGTATTCTAAAAAATAATCGAAAGCTATAAATCGCCGACACACACTTTTCATACCTTTTTACCCTTCTAGAAATTAACAACTGTGTTCGATACACTACACGTTTGAACGTTCGTGCATGTGACAGACGTTTTATTTCGTTCAAATTTTTTTTTTGTTATTCATTATAGGTTTATACGTAAATAAAAAGCATATTTTTCCAAGTCGCAATTTCTGAATGAATGCAATGAATGTAATATAAACGCAAGTGATTTCACATGGAATGAGTTAACGAATCACTAAAATCAAGTATCAAAAATAACGTTCGTTTAAATGTAAATTATTCTCTTCTATAGGATCAATTTAAAATCTTGGCTTTGAAAATATTCGGGACCTACGATATTTTTAGATTTCAAGTCCACGACTTGTGTAGCCTTAGAGGTCCAGCTCACGCGTAATATATCCGGCTTGGATTGTGTTCAACTAAGCTGGTGATAGAAGTTCAATTTAAGGGAAAGCATGCAAATTTTTTAAAAATACTTTACAAAGGGGATAAAATTGAGGAAAAAAGACTTACAACTATGTCCGCCATTCGCCTTAAAATAAACTTTTGATGCTTATTATCTTAATTAATATGTGTTTAAATTATGTAATATTTTGCTAAATGTGGGCGTATCAATTCGTCCCATTTGAAAGGTTTACGCCATTTTTTACAAATTAACAGTTTTAATGACACCTTACTTTACATAATATAAATGTGCTTGTAAGCTTATTAGAGTTTATACCGACTTGTCGGCGAATATCTATTAGGAAGTAAAAGTGATTATTTTTTGTTTAATGTCGAGGGAATGCACCCATTTTCAATGTTCAGCTACCTAAGCATATATCAAGTTTCAACTTTTCATTTTGTCTTTTTCGTATCTAGAGAAAAGCCGTCGACGCTTTTGCCAATATCACGTAACACTAACTCTTTATCTAATCAGTAAGTGGATCGGTGAAGGAAGGACTCCTACGATAATGTAAAGTTAATGCCTGATAAGCATCTGGATTAGAATTTTATTCATATCTCTTATGCGATTATATTAACAGCGCTTAATTAGAAGAGCAATATATAATAGATTTCTTTATATATATATTTTTTTTTTTATGTCTTCATACTTATTAATCATTGTTTAATAAAATTATCTATGAGAAAATATTATTGCTTCATAAAATCTATCGAAATGAATCATAAACGCGCGTATAAAAATGTTTTATATATATATATATATATATATATATATAAAATGCATATAAATTTTCGCTACAACGAATAATGTATTGGAGGTAGAGTGCAATTGGGTATAGAATTTACGATGTTACGTGAATATAAATTATTTGGTTGCGAAATGATTGCGTTTTACGGTCATTTATTATAAGTATTTGGTAAACGTTGCGATATATTGTTAATTCATTTACACACCTTGCTTTCAGCAAACATTTTCAAAAATAATTATTCATTATTAATCAAATAATTATTTTCTTGCTATCATGATTTAAATGAAATTCTCCTTTCGTACCTTTCGTACCTCTATCGACAGCAAAATCTTCTAAGAACTTCTCTATATGTGTATTATTTAATTTAAAAGAAAGAAAAAACAAAATAAATGGCTTGCAGTCGTGTAAAAAAAGAAATTCAGTCAACTCGATAGTTCTGTGTGTCATTCAAGTGTGATGTATAACTTATGTTATGTAGCATGAGAGAGAATTATAAATTTTATTTAAGCGACGAGCAAGCAAGATTCATTTAAAGATTCGTCTAGGAATACGATATGCAAAATTTATGCCGTGTTGCCTAAGAATACTCATCAGAGAACCGGCTACAAGGTATCCACCTAGCGTGGTCGTTTGCTTTCTACATTCGGGTAGCTCTCGGCCACAAAATGCGAAATATAAACTCAAATGATTGATTCATCGTCGTAAACGTAATCGTAAGCGACACAAAGGTATGGACTACAAATTAAGGTAAACTTAAGAATCAAATGTAAAAAGAAATGGGCTCAATACGGGAAACAGACTAAACGAGATATCGTAGATTACTAATTATAATAGACTGTTCTATAGTATGATGTATGATTTCAGAATCACTTGAAACTGCTGTTTAAACATTAATTCGATAAACTTAGCCATCATAGTTACGTGACAAGTTGCGAAGATTGACTATTAGGTGAATAGAACTCCCTTCTTATTTTATATGCTCTTATTTGCTTTACTTAAGAGATGGGACTCTTTCTTTAAAATATTCTTATTTTTCGTTCCGTTCTCTGTCTATCTCTAGTTTCTTGCATAAGGTAAAGTAGGGAACCAAACCCATGGTTTAGTTGGTCGTAAACCACTTTCAGACGATTGATGAGCTTTCGCCGAAACGTGACAGCTCAGGTAACTGTACATTTACTTGGATCAATATCGCTAAATAAATAAATAAAAACCTCGAAAAGGAAATTTAAAAAAAATAAATAAATAAAAATTATATTAAAACTTTCAACACATTAACCAAAAAAAAAAGAGAAAGAGAAGTGTTTGCAGTAAATTCTTGCTTGTCCACAAAATATTTTCATAAATAGTCTATGGTCTTTACCAGATGTCGTTGTGCATTTTTATTCGAGAGGTTTTAAAGCCCTCACTGCCATGCGGTGATGGTTACTAAAAAAATTCCGCTAAGTGATGGGTTACCGAAATTCGTCCCAAGCCAAGCATGACTTTCTTAAGTCAATCCATGTTTTCTTAGCCAAATTCATTATTATTACTGTTTTGTCTCTTTTAGTTTTATTGATATTTTGAACACGTTTTAAATTTGCTAAACAGTTCAAGGGAATTTTCATTATCTGTAAGTTGAAAATAAAAATTGAAAGAATTATTATTTGTTTGTTACGTTCGCGCAAATCTTCTTTAAACGTAAAGTGTTCAATTTTTTTTATTTTTTTATTTTTTTTTTGTTTCTTTTCTATTCATTATTTATACATTTGGGGAGGAGATAAGAGATTTTGTTTTTAAGAAATATAATCCAAAGCTTTGTTGTTTGTTGTTTAAAAAACTCCTATAAATTTTTTCTGCTTATTTTTAAAATACAAGTAAAAACAGTGCAATGGGTCACGACCCATCATCAAATACCCTACACCACACTGCAGTTATTCATATAACAAAATGAAATGTTGTATGAGACATGGCCGAAAAGGTAATCCGATCCGAATCATTCTCAATAGCGCCCGTGCATGGGCCAAAACACATCAGTGCACCAAATATCTCTAAAATTGCGATCTGCAGGGTTAAACAAAAGAAAATAACGCGGACAGACGGACAGACAAGCTTAGAATTATTTTCGGAATCGATCGGTTTTTTTTTTATTTCCAGTCCATCTGCAAGATATCCTTGTACCACATACGGTGTAGGCTATATAAAGCTGATAGGGCTGATCTTAGATGCATCCCAAGAGTTTGTTATTTCTTTGCGATAAATAAATTTTGATAATAACAATAATCTTAGTCACAAGATTTATTTATTTATATGATTTTATTTTTTATTTTGCAGGCAGAAATCGCGTTTTCAATTGGGCTTTAAGTGCTGCAGAAGACTGTGTTGCTCGTGCCGTTACTACGGCGGCTCCAATTGTAAGCTGCTTGGATCGTCCCATACAATACGTCGATCAAACTTTGGTTAAAGGCATCGATAAATTGGAAGTAAAGGCGCCGATTATTAAGGATACACCTCAAGAGATTTACAATCAAGCCAAAAATAAAGTTATCGATGTAGTGCAACCGCATATTGATCGCGTGGTAAAGCTAAAAACAGCCGGTCAACAGAAAGCGGCCTCATTAAAAGATTTAGCCTGGCAGAAAGCCAATGAGGTATTGGCCACGCAATACGGTAGTTTAGCAGTAAACGGTGTCGATACGACGTCTGCCTTAGCCGAACGTCTGCTGGAATATTATTTCCCCAAATCCGATTCAGAAAATGAAGAAGAAGATAATGGTAAGTGTTAACTATGAAAACTTTACGATTATTGATTGCGTTATTAACATTTTTCACATTCCATGACATTTTTTTTGGTTTTTTTTTTTTTTTGTGAAAATTTTTTAGGTTTTTTCATTTAATTTTTTTTTGTTTTTTTACATATAAATTTTTTACTCACAAGGCATTGTTTAAAAAATGCTTCACATTTCATAGTTTTTCTATTGAAATAAGCAAAACAAAGAAAAAGATAAAATTCACTCATTCACTAAATGCGTCATCTACCCCATTCAATAAAATACAAAATAACTTTGTTCAAATTTTATCTGGGTATAAAAAAAAAAAAAAAAAAAAAAAGAAGAAAAATAGCAAAAAAACATAGTTAAGCGAAAGACACAAAGCAATCATTCATTTCACACATATTTGCCAATTGATTGGTCTCTTTTTGTTGGTTTTTTTTTTTTTTCTTCTTCTTCTTCTAATCACTAAGAAATTCGACACACATTTCGCTTTAACCCATTGATTCAAGTAAAAAGAAAAGAAAAGAAAAAAAAAAATACAGTTGCATCGCATTCATCGATTCAATGTTTTTCATTAGATAAATAGAGTTTTTCCTGTCATTTATAATTCCTTTTTCCTTTTTCTTTCTTCTTTTCCATTTTCTGTAAAAAGAAAAACCTATAGTTAAGAAACAAAATGGTCACAATGCCCAGAATGGCAAAACGTCCACCACAGACCGTAAGTTTACGTATTATTACTTTTCAAAAATCAAATAAAATTCGCATGTTGCCTGAGACCTGGATTCATTGAAGACTTTGTTAACTGATTGCAGAACAACCAAAACTATTCATCCAAAAATTTCATCTTAAATGCAAGAATAAATTTCACAAATAGAACGAAAAGAGTTCTTAAATTATGGATTTCCTCTCATAAAGTGTTCTAAGCAAAAGGTTCGAACTACAATTTCGTTGTATAGTGATCTTGTAGAGAAAAATTTTAATATTGTGTCATCTTTTAGCATTGTCGAATGTTCGAGCGTAGCCTTTCGTCAGCAAGAGTCGGCCAACGGACAGCACTGCAATTATATTGATTGCAATGTCTTTCTTTGAAACACTAGTATTAAAGTATTGCAGCGCGCATAGCAAGACTAAGGCGTATCTCGAATGCCTAGGAAAATTCCAACAAATCTATACGAAGAGTTTTCAATCCGAAAGTTTCCAATAGCTCTCAGGGCTCTCTCTATATATTCTACATTTTATGCTCTATATGTATTCTATAAGTGATTGCAAAAGATTCCATTTCAGTCTACCTGAAAGGAATTGTGAGCGCATTGCTTTGATTTTTACACCTAATCCGCGCCCGCATGAAGTTCATTACTGGTCTTGCTGGTCAGCGAAAGTGCCTAACTGCTCGCGAGTGCGTATATTTTATAAGCGTCTCGTCGATTGTTGTTGTTCGGCATTGTTATCGAGAAAAATGTGTTTATTGTACCGCCCTCTTTGCTTGAAAACAATCTTCAACCTTTAAGCGAATAAAGGCATATACACTGATCATATATACAAATTTTCAAAAAGCAAAGTCATTTAAAATTTTGAATCATTTTTTAATTGTCAGTATATATGTACAAGTGGCGTTGTGGCGCAATTTGATAAGATTCCAGGTATGCGTCTATGCATTCGCACAATGCGTTGACAGCGTATTTTTTAACTCTGCATTTCCCGACTGAGTCAACGAGATTATCTTTACGTGAAATCTTTTGCTTGAGACTATTATTTAGCATTGTGTAAATTTGAATTTAACATTCCTAGTTAAAGACAATAATAATTTGAATTTTTGTTCTTTCAATAGTCCCCATATGCGCGATACTGGTAGCAGTTGAAAGAGATAGTAGATATTTTTATATAAATTGGAGTAGCATACTAATTACTTATGCGCACTTTATCGAGTCTCTAAGGCGTCCTTCATGCTTTTATGAAGACTCATTTGTCCGAAAATGGTTTGGAAAAGTCAAAAAAAAAAAGCTGAGAGCCGTCCAAAACTAATTGCATACCTCAATAACTATGCTTTAAATTTCAACTGTTGTCTTCTATAGGGGATGACTTGATGACGCAAATGTGTTCAACGTCTTATATGACTTAGTTTTCGTATTCCAGTGAAACTAGAGTACGTTTTCTTAAAGACACATCTCCCCGTTCTTTGGAGATAGGATTCTCTTCGCAAAAGCGGAGCTGTTTACTTCGAGACCTCATATACAAATGTTAATAAGATTAAAGTGAAACTTGTTGTCTAGTTGGACGACCGCAATATATCCCAACTAATATTTAGTCTCCATAAGAAAGGAAGAGATGTAAGTGATCCACGGTTTCAAAATCGCGCATATAAAAACCGTCCAATTTTTTTTTTTTATACGATAAACTAAAAATTGAAAAACTTCATAAAAATCTTTTAAAGATCAATTGATATCAATTCAATTAAGAATCAGTATTAGTTCCCTGAAAGGAAGCAAACTAGCTATTGCACATAACAAAAAGACGGTCTATCGCTTGTTGGTCTGTTCAAAAGCCATCTAAAGGATTAAGGCATTTTATTTATTTTCGAGGCTAATTCACAGCGGCCCTTAGTAATGATGGACCCCCACCCCTTAGTTATTGTAAAAACTAACTAAAGAATGGGAAAAACCAAATTTCCATGCTCTATAAAATTGGGTGGGCTTGGCTAATTTTTTCCATCTTTGTAGAATAAATGTGCAAATTTTTATCGTATCTCTGCGGCCGATCACTCCCTTTTTGCGATCATGAGTATATTCACTACAGAAATTAACGGAAGGGTAGACAGATGGACGGACAAACATGAAAAGAGCTTTCTTTTGCTATTGGTCAGTAATATGTCGACTTTACAGGGTCCCTGACGGTCTGGGTGCTGGGAATGTAAGTGGAAATATTGATCGTTGTATCTGTTTTGGTTTGTAAGTAATGGGCGAAAAACAAAATTTTTTTTTCACTTTTCTAAAACGCTTTGGTCGCAAGTTGTGTTATGGTCATCCCCTCTAACCGATTTGTTCCATTTTCAATACCAACCTACGTGCAAGAACTTCCAATACTTCTGCCGGATTTGAAGCCGATACTTTCCGCTTTTGCCATAGGAAAATGTTTATCGCAGACGTTACACGCAGACAGACGGACGGATAGATGTACATGTTTAAATCGGTTTAAAATATGATTCTTTTCAAAGATATATATATATACTTTATGAAGATGCCCTGAAGCTTCCTTCTGAACGTTGCCAACGCTTTAACAAAGCTATATCAGAATCACGGACTTTTTGATGCGGAAACGGTAACGGAAGGCCTTTGTGTGAATCTTGAAAAGAATTAAATTACGTTTGATCAATTATGATAAAAGCATACAAAGTCATGGTCACTTTTCTTAACCACGTGCGATTTTAAGTAAACTGTTCCATGGGGAAGAGCATAGAAAAATTTGAACGACATATAAAAATCGACCCTTCCAAGTCTGTGTAAAGCGGCCTTAATAGCCTTTACGTTCTCAGATTATTGATTGCGTTGCCCAGTATATTTTCTCTAAGATTTCTTTCTTAAGATATTCGAAGGGACACTTGACACCAAACGTTGCTTACTTTCTATACTCTGTTTGTGAAAATTCTTGATGACTGTGAATCGAGCTCCTATCTCTTGGGACGATTAAATGAGAATGTCAGGGCTTACAGCCTCCGCCTCTTGGTAATATATTGAAAGTCTTCTTTCACGCTTTTGAGTTTTAATCGGTTTTAATCAGCGAATGCAAATGCTCCGTATATGACACACGCTTATTCTCATTCATACGCATGTCTGCAATAAAAAAAAAAAATAAAAACAATCTCTGCATGTTAACGTCATTTAGCAGTAGGTCACGAGTAGTAAATTAAATATACAATGCTTTTGTGATTAATGTGAGAAAAAATAGACTTCATTGAGTTCAATTAAAAATTAATAAAGCATTTTCGCATTGCTCGTCTTCATATGGACTCATGTATTGCTTTAGTTTACTATTACTTCTGCTTGCTTGTCTAAACGTTTCTTTTTTCCGTATAACAATTTTCTTGTTTGTTTGCTTTGTAGAGGAGGACTCTAATGTAGACTACGACGTTGAACTTGATGCTAGATTTATTGTAGCTGCCTCAACGGTATTTTTATCAATGTCTTTAAAAATACTAAACGAAATTGTTGATTACATTAGAAGAAATCCAAATATTCTCAATAGTATTGATAGGCAATTAAATGAGTTTATGGTAAGAGGTAACCAATTAATTATATTATGTATATACAAGAATTTTTTAATATAGGGTGTCTGACTGCGCGCGCCTCTCCACAATTCTCTGACTCAGTAGACCACGTCAGGCGGTTCGTTCGGTTTCAATCTTCTCATACGCACGCAGATTTAAGTCTTTACGCAAAAAATGATCGTCAAGTTATTCATCCAGTGAGAAGGAACCGTTCTCGTTAATCATATCTTATCATTAATCGTATCATATTTTGTATTTCTATATCGCGGTAGCGAAATATTCAATGATTCGCTTATCGGAACAGTAATAATAATAAAAAGATGATAATAATCTTTGGGTTAACATAAGATTTGAATTGATTTCAAAGTTTGAAAAATTTACAAATATTTTTAAAATGCGTTGAAAAAGGTTAAAATGAATATGAAGCGCCGTTCCTATGATAAGACCCTATATTACATATTTTGCAAGGTTACTTATGATGATCATACTAAATACTAAAAAAAAAAAAAAAAAAATGTT